TTTCAAAGCATCACCAACCTTCCTCAACAGGTTCCTGTTTCTCATGCCCCATATCAATCTTGAGGTATTGTGTTTTACGCGGTTGCCCACCTCCCCCACTGCTCCATGCTTCAGGCTACGACTGGGGCGATTGCTGTTCTTGCACCTGTGTGGTGAGTTTCCTTGATTTCTATTCGGTTCTTTAGGCAGGGGAACTAACTGGTGGTACAGAATGTGTTCCCGATTTCGTGAGTGCCCTCGAGGTATGTCATACGCTTGGCACTTGGAAGGCACATGCGCTCTACCCGAACAAATGATGTTGCATGTTCTTGACCGCCTATAGCCTACACTCGGTACTGCATGAGAGCAAGACGAATACCGAATGTCTTTGAGGCAACCCAAGCCCGTGGTTGATGATTGTGGTTGGTGCGCCTTCCGCTAAGGTCGAAATTGTGTTGAATTTTGTTGACGCGCCTCGTTCATTTTGTGGCATTCGTAAACCGTGGTGGCATTCTGCGTATCATCTTTTTCCTCTCATCTGGTTGCGCTTGTTCACCCTTTCCGTGCCCACCCCACAGGATGAAGACTACGAGTGCGGCAGCAACGGCTTCGCCTGCATCGACCCGAGAGCGGATTGTGTGGACGACGATTATGTTACGGTCGACATGGTTGAAAACTGTGACTCTCGGTACGGATGACGGTGATTTTGGTGTCGGTGTTGGAGTGAGGCTGGCTTTGAATCGAAAACTGACCCATAGGCCGACACAACAACCCGATTACTAGTTGTGCGACGTGTTTGCGCCCTCGATGCGTTCCTTGTCTCATCCAGCGTGTGTCGGGTGCTTCTCTTGTTGCTTGTCGTCGCTGTTGACCTTGGGATTGCCGTCTATTCGCAGAGACATTGGCGATGGCCAGTGTGACCTCGACAATAACAAGGAGGAATGCGGTAAGTGCCGCAGTCGGTGGAGGTGTAAGGTTAAGTGGCGCACGATCGTGTGACGTTGGGTCGAACATGTGGTGAGCGAACGACATCGTTTGCGCCGCATGTGCGTATGTGTCTGTGCATCCTACGAACGCAAACGAGAACATGAGATTCATGGGAATGCGGAACGTTTGGATTTTCTACCTCCCAACAGGCGAACTCATGCACAGCTTCCGCGCCTACTGTAGTTCCATGTGTAGAGTACGCCGTTTCAACCCTGGCTCCAAGGGCTCAGGGTTGGGCTCTTCTTGTTCTTGGCTGTTCTGCTCTATGTAGCTGCCTTTCCCTCCTGATCTACATACGTGTGCTGGACCAATATTGCACGTTCTCTTGCTTGAACGGTTCCCAAACTGGGTGCACAACCAGATACCATTCTCCTCGTTTCGCTCTCTTCTCCGATGTCCACGATGCTCCGCCTATTCCACAGCCTACGACGGCGGCGACTGCTGTTCATGCACCTGCCAGGTACGTGAGTCTGCTGTTCTCTTTTCCCACCTGTCGGGTTTGATTGCGGCACATGTTGCCACAAACGGGACCGTAGTGGGTTTGCCAGCCCCTCTCCTTGGTAATTATCGCGTAGAATTCCATCGCCCGATTCTATGGCCGAGTCGATTGTGCGCTTTGCTGTTCCTCCACTTGCTCAGGTTCCTGATGATGGCAGCGGCGATGACGGTTCCCGCTGCGGCGAATCCGCCTTCTTCGCTTGCATCGATCCTGACGCACCATGCGTGAACGACGACGACATCACGGTCGACATTTGGTCCACCTGCGGCGGGTAGGATATTGACGGACTTGACGGTCTTTGTTTCGCGTGGAGACAGCCCTCGAACCACAAGAACCCTCTTGAGTTCGGTCACGGAGGTCGCTCGCATTCGAGAACAGTTATCATATGGTACCGGGGTACCACATCCACTCGCGGGCTTCCCTCCTGCTCTCTGTTATTTGAATTCGTGTGATGTCTATCCTTTTCCCGATATTGAGCAATGCTTCCATTTGTTGCTGAGCAGCGCTCTCCATCTTGTCACCAGAGGCTTCACATGCTGGTACCAAGATGTGAGCCTACGCTGGGTAGGGTCGGGTCTAACGATTTGAAACTCACGGGCTTAGATTTGTGTGTCGTTCCCCCTTGCCCGTCTCACGTCGTGTCGCTTGTCCGCAATTCTTGGATACGTACAAGGTACTTGAACTTCCTGGCAGATGGCGACTGTGATGAGCTCAACAACAACGAAGAGTGCGGTACGTTAGCTGTTGTCCTCTCTAGGAAAATTGTCGTGGGATTACGTGTTGACCGCCCCCACGGCAAAAGTCGCCCTTCACACGCAGAACAGACAACAAATGGATCGTTTGATTTTTCTTGCACAAAACCGGTACAGAGTATTTTCCATCCGTCGATGACTCCTGACCAGGTTCACCAATAATTTGAGTGAGCTAGGACATACCCGTGACTTGTCCGTGGTGAACCAATCGAATGCCGAGGTACTAAATTCTGTCCCGGTACAACCCAAGTGAGCAGTCTTGTAGGTTGAAGGTTGAAGGGCGAAGGGGAACAACTAACATGCACCCAAGTAACGCAGGAACACATTGTATTGTTGGTGCAGCGGTTATGCATCTCCGCCCAAGGGCTTCGATCGTGACTGGCAGGCACAAGGCTGCCTTTCGTCGAAGCCGAACAATATGCTTTTTATTGCAGCGAGAGACTTTCAATCGTAAAATGCCTGGTTGGATGTGATGGGTGTTGGAGGTCGTACCGGAATCGCTTGCAAAAAATGCGAAACACAATGGGCGCCTCGCCGGACGAAACTAGGCGATTGGGCGGGCCGGACGTGCTCTTGAGATGGCGGGAAAAGAGGGAGTGTACCGCGTTCCCGATGTCGCGTGCGAGCAGGTTCCATGAAGCGAGTGAAGTACGTCTCGGCAAACAACGTCAACTCAGCAGCGGCTTGAGACCGAAGATAACTCATTGACCAGCGATTGGATTTTGTCACGACGTGCCCTCAATCGCCCACCTTAAGTCTGCCGAATCCCGTCCACTGACGCGTCAGTGACCCTAGCCAGACTGTAACACCCCGCGATACGGCAGTTGGTACTTTGGTTATCTCGCACCCCTCAGTCGTGAAGGGCGCTCAACCCTCTCTCGTCGTGTGGCCACAAATGAAAGGCTTGTCACAAGCGGTAACCATCCTTCAACCGTTCGCATGACGTAGAGTTCTAGAGAACATCCAGAAGGTTCAAGAAGGTTCCTTCACGAGATCCGATCAGTTTTCAGAATTTCTATAGCTCGCGTGTACAGCGTCACCCGGAATTTCAAAGCATCACCAACCTTCCTCAACAGGTTCCTGTTTCGCATGCCCCATATCAACCTTGAGGTATTGTGTTTTACGCGGTTGCCCACCTCCCCCACGGCTCCATGCTTCAGGCTACGACCGGGGCGATTGCTGTTCTTGCACGTGTGTGGTGAGTTTCCTTGATTTCTATTCGGTTCTTTAGGCAGGGGAACTGACTGGTAGTACAGAATGTGTTCCCGATTTCGTGAGTGCCCTCGAGGTATGTCATATGCTTGGCACTTGGAAGGCACATGCGCTCTACCCGAACAAATGATGTTGCATGTTCTTGACCGCCTATAGCCTACACTCGGTACTGCATGAGAGCAAGACGAATACCGAATGTCTTTGAGGCAACCCAAGCCCGTGGTTGATGATTGTGGTTGGTGCGCCTTCTACTAAGGTCGAAATTGTGTTGAATTTTGTTGACGCGCCTCGTTCATTTTGTGTCATTCGTCAGCCGTGGCGGCATTGTGAACATCACGTTTCTCCTCTCATCTGGTTGCGCTTGTTCACCCTTTCCGTGCCCACCCCATAGGATGAAGAGTTTGAGTGCGGCATCAACGGCTTCGCCTGCATCGACCCGAGAGCGGATTGTGTGGACGACGATTATGTTACGGTCGACATGGTTGAAAACTGTGACTCTCGGTACGGGTGACGGTGATTTTGGTGTCGGTGTTGGAGTGAGGCTGGCTTTGAATCGAAACCTACCCCGTAAGTCAACACAACCCGATTACTAGTTGTGCGACGTGTTTGCGCCCTCGATGCGTTCCTTGTCTCATCCAGTGTGTGTCGGGTGCTGCTCTTGTTGCTTGTCGTCGCTGTTGACCTTGGGATTGCCGTCTATTCGCAGAGACATTGGCGATGGCCAGTGTGACCTCGACAATAACAAGGAGGAATGCGGTAAGTGCCGCAGTCGGTGGAGGTGTAATGTTGAGGGACGGATCAATGGCTCTTGTGCCATGTCCCTAGTATCGTCCGGTGCCTTTTTCTCTCGTCGGCCATGTGTCCGTACTGAACCATGCAGCCAGCGCAAAATCCACAGCGCCTTTGTCTCAGTGCTTTTTGGAATGAATCTGGTGACGTGTTTACCCGTTAGTCGTCGATGGAATCTGCCGATAGTGTCACTTCTTACCCCGTTGTAAAGAAGCTCAGGACTCGGGCTGGGAACCTCTGAGGATAAAAAATCTGTGATGCTTTTCGGCTGAACGTTTCCGTGGTGTACTGTTGTTCGTCCATATCCATCATCACTTCAACTGACGACGTTGGCAATGCTACCAGACAATTATCGCGCATACCTTCTTCCCTTATTTGACTATTTCCTGCATCATCTCCCCGATGTATCACATTGATGGTCAGCTGGTGTGTCTATGGGAGCCCTCGCTGAACAGTCTGATGCCTGAGCTTGTATCGGATCGGTTTTCTTGGAGGTTCTTCCATAATGATGTTGTTCTTCTGCTGCCTCCCTCCCTCCCTTCCTCGACGCTTTTCCTCAGCATTCGACGGCGGCGATTGCTGCGAGTGCACGTGCGAGGCAAGTGCAAGTCTTGAAAATGTGGTCGGAGCATTGAAGGCCTAGAATTTGGAAGTATCTCCCCTCCTCAACTGCCCGCGTTGGAGTCGTCCTCTTTTCAACAATAGTCTGCGGTTGTAGGTAGAGTGGAGGGCATTTAGGCACGCGGTTTCGCAAATGTCTCAGCTGGGAGTCGCACGGGATAATGGCAGGATGTTCGGGAGAGAGAGCTTACTCTCGAGACAAGGTGCTTTCTGGAAGGCTTCAGACCGTACTTTCGTGTGTAGTTTGGTTGATTTGATTGCACGCAGTGCCCGGTGGTATTCATGTGCCCAACGTAAGGCGGCTGGAGATTTCGAAATTCTGACTCACGCCGCCACTTCAGACTCGATGCAATACGTTCTGCTTCATGTAGTCTACACCCCACAAAGTTTTACAAATGCTGCTCTTTTCAGAGCCCGCTCACGTGCAACCTTGATTAACGAACGCTTTTCTACGGGTACCTGTTGCCCCCTCCTATACTAATCCCCATACACCCGATTCTCTCCCCTTCCCCTCAATAAGTATTTTGCCGAGTACGCACGTCAGTTAACGAAATTTCAACGTTCATCGGGACTTGCAGGACTTTTCTCGGCTCGCGGTTTCCTCCTTCTCTCTTTTCGTCTATCGCGCACTGCCCCCTCTGGCTGATGATCGATTCACGCCTCCGCGTTTGCTGCTCTTCGCGTGTGTCAGCCAACCGGGCTTGAGGATGATTCCTACTCATGCACCTCCGGCTTTGACTGCCAAGACCCGACCGCACCGTGCTTCGGCGAGGAACCTACCCTCCCGGAAAATGAGGATGACGATGGATCGATGTCCTTTGAGTTCTTGGACGAAGACGACCTACTGAACATCGGTACCGATGCCGTTGAAGTCGGCACCAAGACCGACGTAAGTGTATCTGCCACCGCCCACGACACACGCCCCGGCTCGAGCAGCGGCGATGTCGGGTGCGGAGAGGCCGGTGGTAATGGCTGTACGCCGGCGAACACCCGTGACGGCATCAGCAACGAGGCCGAGTCCAGGTGGTCGTGTGCCTCGAAGATCGTGCCCGGCGGAGGGCCTTGCCAGATCGAGTACGTGTTCGGAGAGCCCCAGGACATAGAAGACATCCAGGTGGCTTTCTGGAAGGGCGATGAGCGCGTCCGTACGCTAGAGGTGAGATGGGAGTAACTACCACCAAGCGTGGGATATCACTGCTGCCTGTATCAATTCGAACGAGTAGCTCTGAAGCAATAGCACATTTTCCGGACGAAGTCCCCCCGAATACTGAGATCGAGGGCCTCTGGCAGCGACACTGTACGACAGGACCCGATACTACTTCTGTCCCGGTGGAGTATTGTTTGTGTCACACACTACATAAGGCTGCAACGGCTTTGCCGGTCCAGCGTCAGATGTATTTTTCAGGGCTTTCCATGGGGCCATGAATAAGGTGATTGATAAGGAGGTCAGGCCAAAATTTGAACGGTCTCAGGTTAGGTCAGGTTCATGTCAGATTGGCTGAAAAAACAGAACTGGCCAAGTCAGGATACATCGTTCTTGGATGAGATTTCACTGGTTGGGATACGTGCTCAGCCTGTGAAAGCGGGACCTGTGTCGCCGAACCCGTGCGGATATTCCCACGCGGTGTTCGGACAACGATAGTGACCGCGTGGCACATCACACTTCACAGGTGCTCCGACGCGGTATTCAGTACATCCACGCCTGACGCATCAGTTGAGGTGTGATTAGTTGCCCTTGGTGTCGACCCAAGGAGTGGTCAACCTCTTCAGTCGTGTAGATAATGTCACCCTCAATTATGCTCTGCCGTGCGAGGTGTGCTTCTCGCCCAGCACTACACCGATTTTGGGAACCAGGAGGACCCTCGTATTTGTAGGCAAACGACGCTATGATCCCGTAGCTCTTTATGTCTTCCACCAATGTTCCTACAAGCGGCGTCCAAGCGCATGCTATCAAACATCTTCACACACATTTTCCAACAGGTCTACTTCGATGGCACCCTGTACCGCACCCACGAGTCCTACGCCGGATCCACCTTCAACCCTCTCGGTGTCTCGGCCACCGGTATAAGCTCGGTGATGCTCGAGTCGGTCGATCTGCTCGAGAACGAATGGATCAGTCTCATCGAGGTGCGTTCTGCTGTACATACCGAGTTACAGCACTGTCGTGGCCAACTTTCGCCCTCCTATCTGCAAGGCGGACCCTGGTGACATGATACCCACCATGGTGACACCGCGTAGGGGGTGGCAACCCCCTTCCAACTTGTGCTTTTACGAGTCGAAAGGATGTCGAGCTGGCCTGTTCAACGTTGAGGCTAAGGAAACTCCGCGGTTTCCGAGAGACCCCGTCTTGTTTTGTCCATTTTCCGACCCGTCTGAATAGTTTGAGCCGCAAGGGTTTGCAACACCGTGAGGATGCCGCCCGGCACCTTTCAAGCCACCAAGAACGGGTCAAAGTTTGTCCAAGCACTATGGGTTCAGACACCCCAAATTTCAAGTGGTTGAAACAAGGCAGCGAAAAGCACATGTGGCCTCTTAAACCGAGCAGAAACAGAGCCACACACTGGCAGGGGATGCCGCTGTGAGGGTGAGGCTCAAGCGAGCAATAACCGCGCTAACCGGCTGAGAAATTCGATGACGTAATGTGTTTGGGGTGTCGAAACGCTAGGATATTTTTAAACCCGCACACCGGCGCCGCAGGGCACGTGAAGGGCTATTATGCAACGATTTCAGAGCAATCATCGGGTAGCTTTTGTATGTGGTTCTTTAACTAGAATTGTTTATATATTTTGCTGACTAGTGCAACGGCGCCAATTGGTTGCTGGACTCAGGACGTTATGCCGCGTTATAGCTATAGTAGCATATGTTAAACATCTCGTCCTTCTCGGCGCACTCCTTGCAGCCAGCCACAAGAGCATCTCGCCGTTGTCTAGACAGCAATTCATTTCCACCATTCGGCCCGGTCGAGGCCAGCGATTGTATCAGGCGGTGAAATCGAGGCTAGCGATGAGATCGCACTGTATCGACGGTCGAATGCTTTCAACTTGCCCTCGCCGAACGGGCAACCGTTTTAATGCGAGGACGTCTCGCCTCAGTCTGTATCTGTCAATTTTTGTGACGACAGTTTTTTTTTAGTGCCAAGTTGGGGAATATGTGATGCATGGGGTGTCAGGCTGCATAACGAAGTGCGCCAATAATCTTCCTGTCGGGACGAAACTACCCGGGCCTGGCTTGCCAGACTTGGAGTCAAATCAATAATTAACAATCCGTCATAAACGCCCTGCAGAGGCTGTTGTTGCATCATCTCATGGTCGGGTCGGACCCACCGTTTGGCCACTGGCGACACCAAAGTTCAACAAGGGTTCCGCATCATCGGGCAAACGCAGAAGAGTGGGCATCAAATGGAATACAATATACCGCTACCCCACCGCAAAGCACCTCCGTCATACGTGATCCACCCGACGATTTCCGGTTGCCGCAAGCATCTTTCTCGCCCTATTAATAGAATTAATACGCACGTTTTTTTGTATGTCACGTGCAACATACTGTTGATACAAGCCAAATTTCCTATCCTTGTTTCCTCTACGCTACTGTAGTCCCGAAATCGCCTGTTCCTCCACGCCTTTTGCTTTGCTCCTTCCAACAGGTGCTGATATTCGTTTCACCCTGAGCGGCCGCGATGCCCGCGATAACTCCAACGCAGTCGAGCCAAACCAACCTTGGCCGCCGCAATGTGTGGTTTGGACGTCGCTCTTGTGCAGAGTATAAGGGCGTCCGTGCCTAGACGTTCTACGTATACATGATTTCTGTTGGCGCTGACGGCACAATGTTTTCGTGTTTTCGTGCCCAGAAGGGGGTACTGCTATGGGGGGAGTCCTACCAAATCGGTGCAGCCTGATGGAGGGCCACCTCTGCTGCACACCTTTCTCTCTGATTCCGATTGTCTTGCCGCTCAACCCGGCACGTACTCTTCTCGGGTGCTGATACATGTAGCGCTCCACTCGCTGCGGAAGGCATCGATTCGGCAATATTTTCAGGAATGATCGATATCGCGTGAGAGTAGCACACGTGCCGGGGATCGATCTCACGTTGCCTTACTGTATTGTGAAGGGCTCTGGCCATTCACTCCCATACGCTGGAAGCCGTGCCACCTGCACCAGGTTGCCTATGCTTTGCGCACGAAGTTTCTCTCTGCTTGCATTTTTTGAAAGTGGTGTGGTGGGGGATTGATGATTTCCCCCACCTCAACACTGGCGTGCAAAAAAGTTGTTTCGCACTGCGCATGTATGTGTGGGCAGTGCTTTTCCCACCTCTTCGTATCTATTGGTACGGCGATACTTCGCGTGTTCTTCACGTCACCTCCACGGATATGTGTATGTACGCCGGCTTGATAGAACAGCTTGTTGTGTATTTTGGCACTAGAAAGATTATGCTTGCTCAACATTAATCACAACGGGTGCGGGAATGACTCTGTAGGGTGTGTGCTTGTAGGTGATCGTAGACGAACTTTTGAGTTTGTGTGGTTCGTGCCTAGCTTCGGAGTGGTCGTAGCGATGGGTTGAAGTGTGAATTGTCCTACATTGTGTGCAGGCATTCGCTGAGTTTGATCATTGGGCATTTTCTCTCGAGGACGACTTTGATTTTTGTTTTTTTCTCTGCGCTTGGCCCTTGTATCGGGTTAGTTAGAGTATGTATGTGTATGCAAGATGTGCGGAACAGAAGTCACAGCGAGGTTCAATGTGAAGATCATGAAAACACCATTCGGATCGATTCGTTCACCTGGGCAGGCCGCCAATGCCCCTGTGTCTCCTCGACAACGTTGCTAACTGCTACCATGTGACAAGTGCGTGTGTGTCCGATGGCCGGGTCGGGCATCTCATACGTACATGTTCTCACCGATGATACTTTTTCCAGTTTGGACCGCCGGTACTGCTGTTTTCAACACCATTGTATACAAACTCTATTCAGATTTGTATCCGCTAAGACGCTGTAATGCATTAATGACACCCGGTTTCTTCTCATGGTCGATGCTGGAAAATAATGACCACCGTCACACCGCCCTCTAATTCGAGAGCAGTGAAAGGTTCTCGAAACACCCGTCAAATATTGGTCTCAACCTCACCCTAAAATTATCTCCACTCCCTTCCATCACATTCTGGACCCTTTGCCCGTTGGGAATAGCTCATGGTACCCCATGAGAAACGTTCTCTCGATAACACCATTCATTTTCGTTGTGTCTCGCGGGGAGCAATGAATGAGTGGTCTCGAGAAGCCATGAGATTCTCACGGGGCACCATGAGGAGAAATTTCATGGGCCCATTGAGATTCTCATGAACTTGCTGCATGTGGGTAAAATGACGAACCATCGTACACCATGAGGTATCATGACGTCCAATGATAATCATCTCATGAAGCGACCAAAAAATGGTAACCCGACCAACCCCCAGTTTCAAAACAAATCTCACGGAATAGTAGTCAAGGAGGTCAGCAGGCCAGCAGGTCAACCAAGGAAGAAGCAGCGGGGTGTTTTCAATCGTTGGTGAACGACACACCTCACCCCACGGCAGCCCTCTCACGCCAATTTCATTACACCAACTCAACAGCAGGCGGGCATCCCGACAAACTGAAGCGCGCTATTAGTCTTTCAGGAAGGAGGTGGGCATTTGAAGTACTGTTCCCCTCGGTGAGGTACAGCAGAGTGAGGTTACACTGAGGCAACAGGAGATTGAGAAGCGGTTGCATTTAGGCAGCGGCTGCTTGGATGGTGCGTTACGTTCCCTGCAGGCTTGTGATGGATCTACGTAAACCGCGGTAGACAAAACAGTAGCGCTACTTGTAGCTCTTGAAAGCTCTCGGTGCATACGGCGGCCGGCACGGCGGCAGCCGCAGCCACAGCCACAGCTGCAGCACACACACGCTGCTACATAGGTACAACATGTATCATGTGAACATTTCAGTGCAGGTTTGTTCAACACGAGTTCCTGGGTTTAGCTTGCAGGGGCCAGATCAATCAGATCACAGCCTTTAACCTATCTGTGCGTGTGTGCTGTATTTTATGTAGCGCTCCGTGCGTTGGTGCCATCTGCCTGTATTACCGGCTCTTTTAGTTTCCTGCTGTATTCTTATCCCTTACTCAGATCATTCGATGTAAGTATTGGATTTGGTTGGGTGAGGCCTCCTGCGCCGGCCCGGGCTCCCACACAATCTTATATATGGATTCACTGTTATAAAAGTGAATATTTGACTGTTATAACAGTGAAGCGACTGTTATAACAGTCGGCTCACTCCTATTACAGTCATCGATATTTCACTGTTATGACAGTCAGTTCACTCACTTTCATAAGAGTCAGCTGACTCTTATGAAAGTGAGGTGTCAGTTCACACACTGTTAAGGTTAACACAGTCAGCTGACTCTTATGAAAGTGAGGTGGGTGCACATTACTAACAGTCAGTTTGGGGACTTTTATAATAGTGAAACGACTGTCGTGCAAGTCACCTTTAACAACCAGGCGGTAAAAATGGCTTTGATTTTGGAGCAGTTCTGCAGCTCTCATCAAGAAACGGAACGATGGGACGAGCACATACTTGCCCAAGCGCATCATTGCATCATAGAAATATGCAACTTCAGTTACAGGTTCCAGGCGCATGACGTGACGCAGGTAATTGCGATATGGCGATCCTCGGGCAGGAAAGCCCGTACGTGTTGTGCGCCGCATACATAAGACGAACCCCCTGTGCGCTCGCAAATGCCCTTGTAGGGCAGCCGTCATCTGAACCGCCGTAAGCGGAGCGCAGCCCCGAGTTCCGTCCAGCAGAACGATAGGAAACAGATGTCCTTGGGACAAATCCCAGCCAATCCACACGAACTCCATCCACCGCCGACCACAGAGGAAAGAAAGAGCACAAAAATACAACCCAAAGGGAGGGTGACTGCGCATCGTTGTTGCACGTGACTGGTCCCGAAAAAAAACGTGTGTGGGATGTGTTGGTCTGTGGGGCAATCTCCGGTGGGTTGTCGAACTTCAAATGCACAGACGAATTGGCGGCTTTCCGTCGGACGAGGGTCGATTCAAAGTGTCACATGCATAGACATCGTGTCAGTACCGCACAGAGGCCATGTACGCGTTTGGTGTGTGCTTCTCGGGAGCGATAGCTCCCCATGTGGTGTGGCCACGTCATAACAGTACGTCACAACAGCAATCTGGCAGTTGGCAAGCGACAGACCTCTCGGGTTGTTCGTGGTGGACTGCAGAGATTCGTTTCCATTTGGCAGATCTCCCGTTAAGACACACAGGCCATTTCTGTCCGGATTTGGGTAGATCCGACTCGTTTATTCTTAAATCGAAATGTGATTTCGAGATCTGACTTCTTCGTTAAGAACGACCCTTATGCAGGGGATACATCCAGAAGGCGGCGGAGGCACCGGCACACCGTTCATCACGCTAGGTGACGGCAACTGCTTGTTGAACTCGATAGCGCTACTGTTTGTGAGGGAAGGGCGGGGGATAAGGGCCGCCGTCCCAAAGTTGGCCGCGAAGCTGCGGCTGAGCATGGTTCTCTGAGGGCTTCGGCACATGTAGGCATAGTTGTCCGTGCACGAAGATGTCTTCTGCTGTTGGAGCAACTGCACGGGCGATGTTCACGATGGGCTCACCTCTTTCGGGTGGTATATTGGCCCCGACACGATAAACACGCACCGTGTGGGTTCGTGTGAGACTGCGCGGCTGTTTTTCGTTGCACAGCTACGCGAGATAGCCGTCAAGGGACAATGGCTCCAGCAATTCGTTCTGCCAATCCTGGCAACGGTTATCCAAGCGCCCCTTCGTGTCTTTGTTCCATGTGAGTGCATGGTCGAAGAGCGGCGGAGTTACGGAAGAAGTCGTTCGTTCGCGATGAGGGTGTCTACCTGTGGAGAGATTTATGGCTGCGTCGTTTCGGACGCTTTCCGTACGGCAGTGATGTTGGCCCGGTATCGTTGTAGTTTGACGTTGGTCGGGTGCGTCACGAGGCGATCTCGGACGGTGAGGGCCTCTCGACCAATAGAGTGTCGGTGATTTCACGGCGACCGCCACGGGATCACCCACACCACTTGCGCAAGGCTTTGACGAAATTTTCAGCGCTGATTGTGTTGACGTCGCTGGTCGTGAGGCTGCCGGTGCCTTTCGCACACCGAGGTTAGGGTCCCAAAGTTTTGTCACATCAGGAAGCGCGTGGCGCTGTGTGGAAACTGTCGAGTACTTCCTCATCGTCGTTGCCTAGCCCCGTCCGTTGGCGCTCCCCTTGCTTCCACCGAAATCCAATATGCTGTAACCGGCTTTCGTGTCCTTTATGCGCGGTGCTTCCGTGCTTCCTTCGTGCTCGCATGTCCGTCGTGCTTCTGAACGCAGACCACAGCGTGACATCTCCTTCGGAGGATGGTGGGGCCACACCCTCTTCCGACCCCTTTATCAACAAGGGCCTGAACGTGATGCGGTCCATGTCGTGTTCACAGCCTACTCAACTGCGCACTACGTGCCGACCTTTGCGGATGCAGCCGGTTTGGTGCGACAAGTGGGCATGGGAGGGTTGCCACGCCTCAACCACTTCGTGGCGATGTCCCCTGACAGGGCCGCAGAAGCGAATGCCCTCGCCGTGCAGAGGTTCGAGGATAGGCTACGGAGCGCGACGGACACCTACCGGGAAGCTGTTGCCGCCCTCAACGTAGCAAAGCAGAACCCAGACCAAGAGAAAGCGGTCCTCCGTGGCATGATGGCCCAGGTGGAGACGGTAAGAATGCGAACGAAGTTACGGTTCACAATTGGCAAGAATGAAACGAGAATGTACGGTCGCCTACTTGTGGCTCCTCACGCTGGGGATACGAAGTCTGTGGTATACGTTGTTGCCTATAATGACGCATAGATACATCTGCCGCCGGACGTGAATCACACGCTAGCTTTGTCACATTACTCTTTCATGGGACGTCGTCCATGTTCATGGTTGGTTTCGTCGTGACGGTTCGACTTGTACCCCTTCCTGCGCTTACAGGCTAGCGAGGACCAGAAATTGCGCGAGCGCGGCTACAACCTACCTACTTCGTGAGTACTCACCGTAGGCACCCGCCCCCGTCCCGAGACCTTGTCGGGCGGGTACGTAATGGCTGCGTCAGAACGACGTCGGAGTTGAGTTTCACCTAGTGTTATATTGCCTGCTTGTCCGGATTACGTTGTCGACGCTGGGGTTGAATAGTACACGGATGCGCGCACGCTGAAGGATGCACGTGCTCATTATGTGGACGTGGCGGCTATGGTGATGGGAATGCTTGCAGGTGCCCCTAGCATCATCGAAGGCGGCAGCTAAGGCGGAAGAGGAAGCCCACGACAAATGCAGGGTAAGACCGAAGTCTCCAAAGCCTTGGCGGCCATAAGCACAACGCAACTATTCCTTTGACGCTGACGCCGCTGACACTCGCACTCGAATTTTCCCACCTAGGTGCGAATCGGAACCTACATAGTACCTGATTCCGTCATGCATCGCGTTTCCACCTGCCTTCGGTCGTTGCCGAACTTCGTAACAGGAGGAAGAGGCTGCCGAAAGAAAACGGAAGGAAGAGGTTGCTCAGGCCGAGGCGCGGGCTCGATCACGGCAACGACAGGAGGGTTCGGGCGATGGGGATAAGGATGGAGAGGCGGGGGTGTCTGGAGACAGAGGGGGCAGCGGGGGCAAGCCATCCCGCAGCGGGCTCGACGAGAAGGAGCCTGGTGGAGGGGGCGGGAGCGAGAGAAGTGCCGCGCGGCAGGAGGGCAGTGAAGATGGACCGGACAAAAGGGAGGGTAAGGAGGGCATCAAACGTGGCAAAGGTGGTACACGGGGATCGGAGGAGGGCGCCTGGAGGAAGCGACGGTAAGGGTGGGGACGACACTGCGGGGGGCGGCAAGCAACAGGTGGCTAAGGACGGACTTTCATCGGGCGCTCCGGCAGAGAATAGTGAGGAGGCGAAGGAGAAGGACACCAGGCTCCTACGAAGGAAAGCTCACGGGTTGAAAAAACTCGCGGAATCTCGAGAGGCAAAGGTGAGTCAAATACCTTCTTAGGAATACCCACACCGGTGTTATCGTCAAGCCCAGTCCAGACGGCGCATTGAAAGCGGAATGAAATTGTTCGAAAATGGGCGAACTTGGTACGGTCTCCACCGCGAATCCTTCCGATCCGGGCGAAGGCCGTAAGGATGACGTCAAGCAGGGGGGCAATCACTGCAAGGGAACGTCGAAATCCCATTAAAACGTTGCAGAGCACAGAGGGACGAGCCGTGTATTGCCGCACCGTCCTCGCGGATCTTTCCGGTAGCAACTTGCGCGTGGGTAGGGTCCATTCTTCGTGCGTGTTTTCGCAAGAAATTGGCGAAAGCAACTCGTACATCAACGACGGATGTGTTGGGACGTGTTAATACCCGATTGCATCGTTTACGTGCCTCTTATCGAGCGCTGCCTCCATCTCCCGGTACGAAACACTGCGTTGCTTCTCCTTGTGTCTGTCTTGCAGGGCGACTTTCGAATAGGTGTGCCTTCACACGGGAGCATGGGCCGTGAACCCAGTTTGGGGGACAGTCGCGAGGGAGAACGCCGACGAAGAGGGAAACGTGGTGTCGTATGATGTCTTCATGGTGTCGCATACTCGCGAATCAACCATGACCGTGAACGATGTGGAGATGGATGTAGAGCATGCCAGGGAGGTAGTGAAAAGCAGCGCGCGGGTAGGCGGGGGGGCGAGCGGGCGGGGCGGGGTCAAGAACAAGGACACATCCGGGCTGGAGAAGGGATCACAGTCCGTCGAGGGCAGGAAGGGCAGCCAGTCAGGTGCGATGAATGGGTCGAGGCCTGAGAAGGCAGGAGCGAAGGGGAGCGAGTGGGAGGGCGTGGGTGGTTCCCCCGACGGGGATTCCGACGGGTTCTCGGACGGAGACCAAGGAAGCACGGACCAGAAGGTGAGCCTCGTTTGTTGCGGGCACGACCATCGCGATTTAGGGCCGCTGTTACGCGTTTTTTTTTGCATGACCAGAAACCGGGAGCGGAAAGGGAACGGGCCACAGCTCGGAGGACGACGCGAACGAAGATACGGAGGAGGAGAGGGGGTGCTGGGGGGGAGGGGATTGCAGCGGGATAGCGAAAATTGGACGCGCGTTCGACGTCGAACAAGTGAGATTATGGAGGGGTGGCAGTTACGGAAGACCTGTGCAGTTTGCAACCGCGAATACTTCGCCTCGGAGGTCATCCAAGAGAACAAAATCACGTTCGACATGTGCGTACAGACAGGCGCAGTGAGTCTCACCTCAAAGTGCGTTGTGCCATCGCGAAGTTCGTGAGCAGTGAAGTAGAAGTCACTGTTTTACCCCTTTTCGAGGCAATCCATTCTGGTTCACCGCCTACCCATGGGTAGAACGTGTGTGTCCTGAGTCCATCCTCTCCGAGTTCCTCGTGGTACATCCTTATATTGAGATATAAAACGCTTTCGCACGCTCAAACACACAGCTTCTTACCGTGTTTTTCCGCGAACGAGCTGCCTATGGTGTGGGCTACGGTGTCAATTTCGCTAATGCACACTGACCGTCCGCCGCAGGTCGGGCCGAAATCACATACGAAGTATCGATCTACCAACGATGGCGCGATGTCTTCCGTAGGAGCGCAAGTTTGCGGAAAGGCGTCCTCGGGCGAGACACCCAGGCCCTCTAGCTCGCTGCCGTCGTAGAGTTCCAACAGGCAGTTGTACTGAGGGCCAGACAGCCCGTGCCGTTGGAGGAAGGGCATCTCGAGCAGGCGGCGCAGGCGGCGCTGGGTCTTGTTTGTCCTACGCCCATCCGGGTGCATCCGCATGTGGTCATGGTGGGCAAGGAAAGCGAAAAGCTCGACGATCTTTCAAAGGGTAAACCTGATTCAGAGTATACCCCTCTGCCCTACACGACCCCATGTTACGGCCTCCGTTTATTGGCGGGCTGCGCTGGATTCGCGGTCGTCTGCCCACCGAGCAGGTACTGGACGAATGCCCCGACTTTGGGCCTGTGTACCAATGATGACTATTTTCAGAATGCTGCATGCATCGGAAAGAAATACTTCAATATTACAGTAGTACTTAAGTATATTTTTCAGGTTTGGGGAGTACATATCCAGGCAGGTAGAAGTGAACGCAAGATTTCGAACACGTTCTCCTTGCGCTGCTCTATCATCGTGGCGAACACTCGGCGCTGATCGAATGCTTTGCGGCGTTCTGCCGCACGTTCTGTACGTTCTGCGGGGTGCACGCCCTCGTTGTCCCACTGGTCGTCGAACGTAGGCCCCCAGTTGTGATCGTCATCGCCGCTACTCCAATCCCTGCCCCAGTAAGCATCACTGCCGTCGTCCTCCTGGTCGTCGCCGCTACTCCTATCCTTGCCCGAGTAGTCGTCACTGTCGTCATCCTGCCCCTTGATGCTACCATTCCCGCTTCCCTCCCTCTCCACGCTTTTCTTCGGCAGACTGCCGTCGATCCCACCGTCGTTGGTGACAGTATCACTGCTAACCACTGGGCACACCCCCGAATTGTTGCCCCTGCCCACCCTTTTCCCCTGCCGGTTTGGTGGTTGTTGGTGTACCGGCATCGATCTGGCATGCGCTACTGTGGCGTCGACGAGACCAGGAAGAACCGTCTGCATGTAAACTCTCGAATCCATCACCTCATCGCACGAGGCGGGTTCGAGATTTTCATCCTCGTTGACCTTGCAAACGGCTCCAATGCCAAGATTTCGGTTTCCTACGTCCCGATGTCAAACCGAGTCCCGACTCCGACATGCATATCTCCCTGGATTGATCGGATCAGAGGCATATTATCATAGGGGGTCTCGTTGTCAGAAAGGAGTTTCACTGTCAGCTTCGCGGAGGGTATCTCGTCGAGGGAACCAATGGGTCTCCCACACTTTCTACAGTTTTCCCAAACGACCCATTGGACTCCCTTGGATCACCCATGGGTCATCCCATGGGCAACCCATGGGTGACTCATGGTTGCCCCATGGGTGCTCCATGGGCAACGAAGTGCCCATGGGTGACCCATGGGAAGCCTATGGGCAGCCATTGAGAGCCGTTGAACCGAACCTTTAGTCCTAAACAACAGAACAATTATCCGCTTTGGAACGGGCACTATCACGGCAATTAACTCTGACGCTACCCCTAACCCTAACCCCAAGCCCACACGATACGTGCTACATGCAGGTTGGCGCTGGTGGCTAAGTTCCATGTAGGTTGATGTTAGGGTGGCTAAGTTCTAGGTTGATATGCCGCTGGCGTGGCGACGTTCTAGGTTGAAGTGCCCATGGGCACTGCATGGGCGGCCCATGAAGAGCCCATGAAGAGCCCATGAAGAGCTCATGGGTGACCCATGGGTGATCCATGGGTGCCCCATGGGCGGGCGGAGTAGCAAAACTGTCAGTAGTGTAGAGATTCCAACAAGCATCTGAAACCGTACTTTGCGTTTTCAGTAGCACGACAAGATCGGTGTGACTGGGAGTGAATGTGGTGCAAAACGTCTGTGAAATCCCACAGAAAATAGTACAGTCGTTGAAGAAATGGAGTGCCATGGAAACACGGTCTTCACGAAGTTCACTCATACATTATTGGCGATGACATTAACAGGCAGGTTTTCGATGTTCCCACTTGAGGTGGGAAACCGGGTCTCGACTCTTTCCAAACATGCTGTTCCGCTGTCGTAACTCTACATATGACTTTCACCCTTTCCTTCTTGGTCATGATATTCATATCGAGGGCTGACTATGCCGGAAGTCCCAGTCTGAAACCAAGCCCAGACTCCGACACGCATATCTCTCTTCTTTGATCGAACCAAAGACATAACATCCAGGGCGTCGGTGGACAATACATGTTTCACTGTCAGCTTCGAGGAGGGCCACACGTCAAGTGAATCCAAATGCATCTGAAACAAGACTCTGCTTTTTCGGTAGCACAACACGATGGGTTAGGAGTGAATATTCTTCAAAATCTGTGATTTCCCAAACCAAGTGGTACGATGGCGTTGCAGAAATAGAGCTTGACGGAATCACGGTCTTCACGAAGTTCCTTCATTCATTCTCGCCGATCACAGTCACAGGCAGGGCGTTCAGTGTCCCACATTGCGGTGTAAACCCGAGTCTTCGCTTCTTCAATACATGCTGTTTTACTGAAGTAACCCTGCGTGACAATTTATTCTTTCTCTCCCTGACATTCGAATGAGGGCTGCATGTGCCCAAAGTCCCGATATCACACCGAGGGCCGACCCTGACGCGTTTTTCTCCCTTGTTTGATCAAATCACAGACAAACGATCGCAGGGCGTCATTGAGCAAATCGTGTTTCACTGGCTTCGAAGAGGCTTCATCGTCGAGGGAACCCATGTGCATCTGAAGCCAGAACTCACTCTGCCTTTTCAGCACTTCGATAGCACGACACTCTTGAAGAACAGGATGCGAACATACTGCGAGCCCACCAGGATGACCCATGGTAAAAGGGTACGATGTCGGTGACAAATGTTGACTACAGTACTGCAAACGGACCTGATCAATTTCACTCCTTTCGTTCATGAAATTCGCAACAGCTTCGGCGATATTCGGAGAAATACCCTACAGACTGGGCCCGGGGATAAAAAACCTGAAAATCGGGTCGACCCTCAATTTCTTGTTCATGGCAGAAGGACCAGCCAAAGTCGGCTCAATTTCTTAGAACGGATGTATTTTATTATTCCTTTGGGCTGTCGCCTCGTGGTGATTCTCTTACTTTCTCATGTTCTTATTTCTGGCGAAGAAAACAACACACCAGTATAGCAGCCATGACTGGTGGGTACAGCGCAGCCCGCGGCGGCGCTGGGGCGCGGGGGGTGTCGCGAAAATAACCTCTCCCCTCCCCCCGGTGATTGCAATGGAGGTTGGATTTTTGTCGCTTGGCAGCGATGTTATAAAACAAGCCATCACTTCGTGAGCTCGGCAACCAGGTTACCGCTTTCTTTTTTGCCTCTGGCTTTTTTTTTTGCGGTAACCATGAATGGTGGTCGAGCAGGTTTAAGTTGTGCCGGGCCGAGAACCCTCACTCCGCGCCAAGGGGATAATTGCACTTTGTTTTAAAACGGTCAAGCACTCTCGAGGCAGTTACCCAGCGCCTACAACGGTCTCCGGAAGTGAAAGCACCAGGAAATAAATTACGTCATAACCAGCTGCCATTCGTATGCAAGGAAGTAAGCACAAGATGCCGAATACCCTTAGCAGGATGCAGCTAACCATTCATGCGACTCGCCGAATAACTCACGGTGCTTCGCGCTTGGTGATGTGAGAGCCTGGTCCGGTGGGAACCCGGCGTGCTCCGTCCCGGCTTTTTAGGGATGTGAGGTCAATGGTCGAACGACTACGGCATGCACGACTATAAGTACACTCCAAAATATGTTTACATGATGAGCAGGTAGTAGGGGGTGGGAGCACGGCAGCAGCAGCAGCAGCAGCAGCAGCAGCATCAGTGGGACGTTTCTTGTTGGACACGCTCCCCCAACAACCCCTTGTTTTTAATACCTGGAAGGTATCGCACGATCATATTTCTTTTTGGGACGTTTCTTATGGTGTCGTCGTGGCCGAGATTGAGCTGAGTTTCTTAGCCCTCTGTTTTCTTATTTTCGTGAAAAGTTGAGCCTTTTTTGTGAACAGAATTTTTCGAGCCCGTTCTGTACATCAACTGTGACAGGCGAAGAAAAAAACGTCTATCGACCCCCTTGCGCGCCTAACCCAATCGACTTTCTTTCCCCAAGCTTATATATGCACGGTCCGAAACAGGTTCCGATTCGCACGCTCTTGCTGACGTTGCTCCGACTCGGCGTTCCGTCACTGATGCCTTCCGGCGCACTCGGTGAAGGACGCGCGTGTAGCTTTACAACCCCTCACGCTTCGCTCGTGGAAATTGAGGGTTGTCGCTTCCCCCAACCCCGTGGGCAAGTGAGGGCGACCCCTTGCGGCCTGTACGTCCACCTCCTACATATACCACCCCACCTTTCAGCGAAAGGCAACATGTAGGTCTACATTTATCGCGGCAACCACGTGTATCTCGGGAATCACATGTTGGTTTCGGCCAAATAACGACTATAATAACTACACGACAGGTGGTGGGCGTGAGAACACCACAAAAACAAATTTGTGCTCATAAGATGTGCTCTCGGAACGTTTCGCGCGGTGTCGAAAATTTGCCATGTTTATTTAAGACATCGCCGAGGTGGTGTTGCGGCCACATTCTTGGGTGTATCTCAAGAACCACATATACATTGGTATCGGCCAACTGACGGCTTGCGCGACAGCTGGTGGGGCTGGGGAACACAGCGCAATAAGTTTCGTGCCTGTTGGAGGTGTTTTGGGAAAATTTCGCGACGCGGTCGTCCTATTTACGACACACCGCGGAGGTGGTGCCGTGACATCACTTTGGACCATATCTCGGTAACCACCAGTCAAAATGTCTGGCACGAACGAGGGCTTGTCGTTTGACAGGTAAAGAGCTGTAGGAACACAGTGAATGTAATCACGACACCGGTGTCCTAAATAGCATTACCGTGGCTTTTCGTCTGTCTCTCGTGATAGCACGCTGTAGCGATCGTGTAGCGCGGCTACCCCCAAGCGGAAAAATTACTACTAGGTGAACCAAGGGTTGAACATCGCTTGCGAGGTACTTCGAAAGTTATTTTCGAAGACCGAAGCTGGCACTCGATCCAAGTTCGGGAAAGAGGTCATTTACCGCTGCCAAGGTAAAAAACAGGAAACCATTTTTAGATGAAATACTGTAGTAGCCAACGTCATGCGGAAGGGTTTGTACGTGCTGAGAATGCCGGCCTTCTTGCTAATGATACGAATACGAAACGTTGAGCTTCCACGAGGTATTCGTGCAATGTTCCTTGGGTTTCGCAACGGAAACGGCGGAAACCGCCGTGGAATATTCCAAGAATACCATGGAACCCATAGCGTCCAATATGGAGCCGCATGCCGCATTCTCTTGGCACTCCGTGCAGCTCCATGGCTCACTCTCCATGGGGTTCAATGGCGTTGACATGCGGCTCCACGGCAGCCATGGAACTCGACAGACACATCCTGGAGTTCCGCGGCCTGTAACACAAGATGTGAACGAATTTCCAGGTACTCGCAGGCGTTCGGGTTCATGCTCCCGCATGCCTTAGGACGCCACACCATTCTTCTACCGACGGGCGATGCGATGCCTGCTCCGCTGCTTGGGCCTCTAGCATCGACCAAGGAGGTTGCGATATCGCAGGAACAATGCACTTGGCTGCAGAGAATACCGCCGAAGAAACGAGGAAACCCATACAACTGCCAATAAATACCTTTCGCATCAAACTTGCACAAAGGGCGAACGGTCGCGTTTCTACCTACCGCGCTCGAACGTCTAATAGAGCAATCTACCTCGAAGCAACCGGAGATCGCCCAACTCTAGAGAGAAACCCCAAATAATGGTGGGAAAAATTCTGCACAATAAGTAACTCGTGCAGAGAATGAAATGTGCACCCGGAACCGGCAGTACGCACAGAGAGCATTTGCTGGAAGGGGAAAGGGCCTTCCAGAAACGCCATTGTTAGCCAAACAAAAGTCCTCAATGGTTACAAGACATACCCGGCACTCAGATCATGCGTAGCGACAGAATGCCACGAGTACGAACAATATTAATACGTTGCAAGCTAGAGATAACAACATCAGGCTGTATGCCAATAGAACTGATCAATCGACCCCTGGCCGCATATCACAAGCGTTCTGCGGCCAATTCTCTACTCAGCTATTCATGAACCTCCAGGAAGAGTGACGAAGAAACACACCTTAAAACGGACGCAAACAAAAGAAACATCCGGGTAAGAAACACACACGCCCGCAGAGGCCAGAGACAAGAAACTAGGCCGCGCTTGTCCATCAGTCACTATCACAGTCAGGCGTAAATAGGAAGAAATGCTTGATAGCAAACGCGGTGACTATCAGCGAGGGTGTCAGGCCCAATGTCCCTACGTGATACGCGTTCGTTCCCAAAACCCCGTTCTCGACGACAGTGTTCCATGAAATTTCGTCAGCATCCAAACGACAGGTTGTGCCACGCACGTCGAGGGCGAAGCTTGGTTCGTGTTGGAATCAATCGCCTTGGGCCCGTGTATCCACCACTCACTCAAGGTGTCACGAAGATGAGCACCTGTTGTGAAGGTGCGCAGCGGAATACAATACCACACAGAGAGACAGGGACAGACGAAAGGGAGAAGGGACGAGCGATTTGTCCGAACAAACGTTCGAAGAAACGTATTTGTGAGCACTGCGCGATAGACTCGCTCGCGCCGAAAGGCGAACTGGTTGCGAAATGGATGCTACTGGACAAACAAGAGAAGCCTTTGGAGTCCAACATTTTCCATTGCTGCCCAAGTGTTTGCCCTGCTCGATAGAGTTTGTGTCCAATATTGACCTGGTGGGTATACAACTACCTTGCTCTGTCCACGTATGCCTGATGACACCAGAGGCACACCAAACATAATCCCCTCGACACCAACGGTTGGCAAATTTCCCAGGCCCTCGCAACAAGCAATCGTGGACACAACGCTCACCTCGATGAGACTGATCCATTCGTCTGAGAGGAGAGCGACGGACTCGAGCATCACAGTACTGACGTCAGTAGCCGTCACACCGAGCGTGTTGAAGGTGGCATCGGCGTAGGACTCGTGAGTGTGGGTCATCTCGCCGTTGATGTGGACCTGTGTGGGGAAAGGTTTGCGAGGTATGAAAGATGAAACTCTTGCTTCGAGCACCGCCCGTGGAAAGCGCCCACGGAAGCCGCTTGGGATGGGAGGGTGTCACACGTATCGGCACGATAGCCCGCTTCGAGGTGGATTCCCAGCCCGCGGCGAACGTGCCATCGCCATTCAACTCAATCGCTAGGAGCGGTCAACACCTCCAAGCATTTCATTTACACGTTACGAAATGCAGTCCTCATGGTGGCTCACAGTCGCAGAAGTGTTGTTGGGGGCTACCAGTAACTAAAAGAGAGGGCTTGTTTCGGTAACCTTCAGCCTGCTGGGTGTCGCCCTCACCTCTAGGGTACGGGTGCGCTCGTTGCCCTTCCAGAAGGCAACCTGAATGTCCATAATGGTCTGGGGTTCGGCAAAGGTGAACTCGATCTGGCACGGCCCTTCGTCATCCACGAGCTTCGTGGCGCACGACCACCTCGACTCGATCTCGGAGAAAATTCCGTCACGGGTGTTGGTCGCCGTGCAGCCAAGGCCGCCGACCTCTCCGCACCCAGCGTCGCCGCTGCTCATGCCGGGCCGCACGTCGTGGGCGGTAGATGATACGCCGACTTCGGTCTTGGTGCCCACCTCAACAGCACCGTCGACCGTCGGCAGGGCCTCTGTCTCTTCCCAGGGGACGAATTCGTACGACATTGGCTGGTCGTCGGTGCTGAAGTCATCGCTCCCAGTAGGTTCTTCGCCGAAGCAGGAGGCGTTCGGGTCTTTGCAGTCGAAGGAGCCGTACTCGCTGCTGCAGGAGTAGTCGTCATCATACGGGCTCTCGCATGTGCAAGAGCAGCAGTCGCCGCCGTCGTAGCCTAAGAGATAGCCACAGAGGGAAACGAGGACGCTATAAGCGCTCGAACATCACAGTTGTTCTTGCTCCACGTCAGGACGACCAACGATAGGGTTATAATGACCAACAACGAACAAAGGCAACAGAAACACGAACGCCGCCAGAATCGCAGCAAGTTATTGTACCAAGCCTCGGAGCCGTCGATTAAGACTGCATCCAAAGTTGAACCAGATTCCAACACATGAGCGCAAGAGAAAAACGGTTATTGCTGGACAGAAGAAAACCGAAAAAATACCAGTACAAAGTCAACACGCTCGTGTTTTGGTCGCTGGGTCCATGTGGTGTGCATATCGTCACTTGACTATATATTCGAGCGCAATCGATGGCAAGCGCAGGAGAGGAGCTGTCCACCTACCGTTGTTGTCACAACAAGAGCGCCTTCTACAGGAATTACAAACTGGGAGAAGCAGCATTGCGAAATACTTGTCACCACCGTACGCTGCTTGACAACGACGCGAGAGACAAGAGAAAGGGCGCTGGGCAAACCCCAACCCTGACAATATTGGTACGTCGGGAGCAGCGTATAGGGCCCGAAATCGAAGTAGACGGAGCCAAGGAGGGAGACGACCCAGAAACATTGCGGGCGATCCTCCTCAGTCAGCCCGAATGATCGGGCTCTTGCCGACGGACGCCGCGCGTACAATGGGTTTGTGACGCGTCTACAACGACGCCAGGTGTTATCGTACCGTGCTCACGTCGTCGAGGTAAGGAACGAAACACAAGCTGCAATATACTTACAATCCAATACAGCTAAGGATACATCGAGCTTAGTTGGGTTCAAACTATAGTTTCGGGCTCAGCGAATATGGCGGAAATAGTTCCTGGGAACAGTGCGGTGCAGTGCGCTCTGCCGTCAATCCCCAGCACAGATTGTTCATTGAACCACAATTTTTTCGCATTGTCAAGCCAAATAGGCTCCAACCGGCGGGGCATACCAGTCGGACGTGCTGGATGTCTGCTGAGCCAAACAAATACCGACCTCCGTCCCTGACAGGTGCATGTTTTATCACGCAGTTGTGCGGGAACGGTATCTTGTGCCGTTTCAGGAAGCATGGTCTCACCGCATTCCTCCTTGTTGTTGTTTCTATCGCACCAGCCGTTGCCTATCCCGGAGACGTAGCCACAGTTCTCGACCATGTCGACGGTAATGTCGTCATCGTCTACACAGGGCGCGCTGGGGTCGATGCAAGCAAACTCCATGCAGTGGTAGTCCCAATCATCATCCCAATCATAAGGAGATTCATACTGAAAGGCGGCGGGCGAGTACAAGAGAGCAGAAAACAAGTACAAAGATCAGGGAGGACGCAGCATGGAGTGTTGGGGACAAGAAGTACGGAGGATGTTGGCCAACATGTCGAACAGGTGATTCCAGGGCGCGGGTGTTTTCTATTCGGATCGGACCCAACGCCAACCGAAACCACCGCGCTAAAATACCTCGCACCAACAACAGATAGCAGGCGTTTACCCAAGACTACGAGACAAGAGACCGTAGGCAAGAGAAGAGGTTATTAGTACTTCTACCAAGAGGAATCCATGCGGATTCCCAATGGTTTGCTGATGGGCATGTACATTCGCAGCAAACCAGATACGAACGGAAATGACCGCTCGTGGAGAAGGCAGTGTCCCATATAGGAAGCCATCGGCGGCGGGTAGGTTCACAGGCCGATGGAAGTAGGAGAAGATGACAAGCTAAAAGTACATTGCTTTGAAGGCCCGTTACTCCAAGTATGTGGTGAGAATCCATACGCTTCGCGTACTTTACCTCGCACGTGCACTCGCAGCAGTCGCCTCCATCGTAGCCTGCCGAATCGGGGTGGGAAGGGCGAAGACGACGACGACGACGACACAGCATTAAATGGAGGCACAACAGTGCGTCAATCGTAGTGCCACGCCTGATGAATATACGAGCCCTGAGACCATTTTCAAGGACTGTATGTACAGCAGTTGGCCCTTCCAGCCATCGGGAGAAGGAGTTCATACGTTCTGTCCCGGCTCGGTTACCCCACAGCTGAAAGAGTGGAGTAATGGGGCCCAAAGGGTGACGTCGGAAAATGGCGGCGTTAGAGACGTCTCGTGAACGGCTTGACGAAAAACCGAACCGTTCAATTTGTACACCATTCGTCGTCAAGTCCGTCCAGCGAGGGTGACACCTTGTGTCACCTACCGTGAGCGTGCATCTATGGTGCTGGTGCTGGTGTCGAATGCCAACCTTTCGGCGAGATCTCTTTACCCCACGGCTTTTTTACTTACTTGATATCACCCCCACGCCCTGGAATCTGGGTGTTCAGGGGTTGGATGCCGAAATGGACGAGCAACCGGCAAACAAAGTTTCCCCGGCATATGGGGGGGATTTGTGGAGATTCTCTGTCGAGAGCAAGGCGTACGCTGTTTTGCACCACGTGGATGTGTGTTTCCGCTGAGTGTTTGGCTCAAAGGCAATCAGGCAATCAATCCCAAGGCCTCTCCGACGAACACACTTAAGGCCTCCACGACGATCAACAAGGAAATGGGCTGCACGTGGTGGGAAAGGAACCTACCGCACGCCTCGATGTTGTTTGCTTCGTCGCACCAGCCGTTTCCGATGTCCACCGGGTATTCGCAGTTCTCGAACATGTCGACGGTGATGTCATCGTCGTCAACACAGGCTGCCTCTGGGTCGATGCAAGCGAACCACATGCAACCCCAGTCGTCGTCGTAAGGACTCTGGCAGGAGGGCGAGCGGCAAATGGAGGGATATCCTTGTTCAGACGGTTTGAAGAGAAACGAAAGGGGCAGCGGGTGGGGAGACGCACCAACCCAGAAATGGCCTTTTTGTCCAAGCAAGCCGTGATAGTGCCAAACTTAATTCAAAATAATGAGGGTCAGTATATACCCAGGCTCCACGGGAAGGCCTGATACCGCGGCCAGCCCCCGACGGCAGGGAAAAAGGCTAAGACAAGAAGTCGTTTCGTCGAGACCGTTGTGGTGGTGCAATGGGCAAAAACACTTCTTGGCTAGTCGGGGACGTCCAAACGGTTGCACACGAAAAGCAGCGCTTGCCCAACGTGATTCGCGTTAGGCGGGCACCTTCTGTTACGGCAACGCCCCTCACATGTCAGGTCAGCAAATACAGCGCAAAAACATGCAGTTAGCATTGCAGTCGTGTGCTGTAAGGTTATGGCCCACGCGGTAGCGAACTCGTGTCACATGTTCGGCGTCGTCAGACTTCGACCGGAAACTTCGACGGAAGACCTTCCGAAAACAATACCGAGCCCGCGATGAGCTGTTTTTCGTATACCAAAGCTTCCGATGAAAGAATGTTCTCCCGAATTGCCGTCGCAGTCTTCGAAGAAAAAGCACGGGCACAGGGAAAAGAAAACCACCTACCGAAGAGACACAATAAATGATTTTAGCATCCGAGAACAACGATCACAAAGGGGGGAGGACCTAGCCAGTCCTCGTATGAGTGGTCCCTACCTCACAAGTGCAAGAACAGCAGTCGCCCCCGTCGTAGGCTGCGGAAATTGGAAAACACGAACGTGGCAGGACAGGTAAGAGAGAGAGACATCGCGGTCCACTTGTGTTGGTTGCAGCCTACGCCACGTGTGCAGTCGTGAGACAATGAGGGAGCGAGCTCATAGTCGCCAAGGGAGACGCACAGGAGTAGGATCATGTGGCGAAGAGGTACGACATACTAAACAGCGGTTCTGACGCATTAGGCTTCATTCCCCACCACTGCCACTACTGCCACTGCTGACGGCGACACAAGGTCGTCGAAGGGCGTCAACGACGAAGTTGCTTGCTCAGGCGACATTCGCGGAAAGTACGCGTACCCCAGGGTAATCAAACAACCTCCTCAACGACCTTCCGCCCATGTGACCCCCCGCCAATAAGTCAAACAAATATGAACCAAGACGTTCATAGATTGGCCGCGCCAGAGGAAATGGGACGAACACCAACACGCGCACCATGATTTTGCCGCAACAGCTACCAAGATAACCAATCAAAGGAGCTTGCGACCTTCATCGACTTTGGAGCTCATTTGAGCGCTGGCATCTATTGGCAACAGGTCGTCGGATGTCTGTAATCGACACTCACACCATCTTCAAGGCACCCAATCCCTATTTCAGCTTGCCTCCAAGAATGTCACTATAGGTCACGAGTACGGTACGGGAAAGCGAGCTTCTTGGGCAAAGACCTACCGCATTCCGGCGTGTTGAGATTTTCGCTGCAGTATCCGTCGCCGATGCCTGTCGACCAGCTGCAGTTTTCGATCATGTCTATGGTGACGCTGTCATCGTCCACACAGGGAGCGTTCGGGTCGACGCAGGCGAAGTTGCGGCAGTGCCAGTCGTCGTCCTCGCTGCCCTGAACGGTGAGCGCACAACAGGAAAATGAAACAATTGCGGCAGCAGCTCAGTCTTGAGAGAGGAAGGGGGGGGGGGGGGGCTCTCATGTTTCGCATGCCTTAGCGGTAAGACCAGTACCCACGTGTCATCGAGAGGACTAGCCCTTACCCTAGCCCTAACCTTGAGAGAGAGGGGGATGCTGAAAACACCAAGCTACATTGCGAACCCTTGCACGCGGACGCACCGTGAAATGCACCTTGCACACGCGAAATTTGCAGGGACAAGTGGCAGAGGCACACACTGTCCGAAAGTGGGTAAAACGTGTCAGAAAAATGCACAGTTCGACGGAAAGGGCAAAACAAAGGCGGTATTCCCGTCCAAAAGAATGGCCGATTTCTAGAACTCGTGGGTTCCAAATGTTTCATGCTGTCAACATGGAACACATTCTTCAGAGTAGAAAAGAGGGACGTAGAACAACGCATGAAGAGCTTCGGGGCAAACGTATCTACTGAGGGGGCAAACCCAACATGTCTTCCGGATCCACGCACTTCAAGCGGGTTCGCTTGGCAGGCAAAACAACTGAATTGGTCCCGCGTACCTCGCAAGTGCATTCGCAGCAGTCGCCGCCATCGTACGCTGAGGAACAGAAGGATAGTTCGACAGCGAGGGGGAATCACAAGGCAAGGAGGAGAAGGGGGAGGGGTCGCTGTTGGCTGGTTGAGCCTGATCCCTGCGGAAATAGTTTGTTTGCATGCGGCAAATCTCGCATGCCAGTACGACAACGAAATGGGCGAGCGGAAGTAATGGAATCGGCATCATCAACTTCAAACGAATAGACGCCCATAGAATCGCTTCCGCGCATTTGTTGCCAACATGCACAGATCAAAGAGAGAAGCAGAGAAACATAAACGACAGAACGACAGAGGTTGTTTCTTGGCCAGTAGCGCTACATACATAGCTTGGTCTTAAGACAACCAACGCGGGAAGAACACATGGGTCAGAGCGCCAACGCCACCCTGTATTTTCCGTGCATAGGCATTCGCTTGAGACAGCGACGCTTGCGATTTCTGTCAAGTGTCGAACGAGCTACACTACTTAATTCACCGAAAACCCATCCGGACGCATCAAACAAGAAGGGATTCAGCCAGCTGGGCGATCAATGGTGCTTGACAAGGTTAACTGTCGCGGTCCATTCTGCTTGCGACTGCGCCTGCTCCAGCACGGTGGTGCACGTTTTCAAGAAGCAGCAACTCACCGCCTTCCGATACTAAAAAGAACCACGAGGCTTACCGCATAGCTCGTTGTTGTTGTCTTCATCACACCAGCCATCCCCGATTCCCCCTGGGTAGTCGCAGTTGTCGATCATATCCACGGTGAATGAATCGTCATCGACGCAGGGTGCTTCAGGGTCGATGCAGGCGAAGCCGCTCCACCTACCGCACTTGTTGTTTGGCGTGTCCTGACATGCACATGCGTAGCAATACGTTAGCCGGAGAAACGCGCGAACACGTGCAAGAGATCGAGTAACAAAGCGGCAGGGACAGCGACATCACCATCACGCCTGGCCGTACTACTGACACCACAAACCATAGCACCGGGATGGAACATGGGACGGGGTTTTGTCGACATGGAAGGCATACTATCACTGGGCGAAACGCCGCGAGGTGTTTGGCGGGCAGCACGAAGGGTACGTGCCATGCATCCAAGCAACGGAACGTTAGGCTCGTTTACTCCGTGCTCCATTCCTTGCATTGACTGGTTTTCAAACGGCTACATTGCTTTGCATGCTCCCGGAGACAGCTGTGAGGCGCTACCGTTGGTGACATAAGGTGTCAAACCTCGCACCCCCTGGCCCGAATTTCAAAGCTCGGATTACTCCACAGCAGTAGCAACAGTGGCGGGGTCGAACACGGCAATGTTAGAACCATATCGTTTAGAGCTACCCGAAAACATACCGCTTCATTCATCAGTTCGCTTTGTCTTCGCTTTGAAAAATCGGCCTTGGGGCTGTCCAGTGATACCCTACGTCACCTACAGTCATGTAACTTGCTTCCTGGGTGTCCGACTACCACAGCATTTGATGCGATCGTCCTACTTCAACTACTGGGTGAGGTTGGATAATTCTCTAGGTCGCATATACCCTGGTCCAGGCCGAAAACCACGTACACAGTCACGACGGAGCAGTCACAGGGTAAGGAAGAGCGAGACCGGGGACCCGCAGCCTTGGCAGTGTTTCTTAATCTAAGGTCGGCGAAGAGCCGCAATGCCGACAGGAAGAACTACTCGCACCAAAGCGAGGAAGAAAACCCAACAGAAAACTTGATTCAGAGAGAGCTTGAAACGAGAACGCGTGGTGATGGCCCGCGGGAAGCGCTGTTTAACTCTACAGCTAGTCTCATGCCTTTCAAAGCGTTTCGCCTAGAATGGGCAAGGAAAATAAATGATTCCCATACCTCGCAGGTGCACTCGCAGCAGTCGCCGCCATCGTAAGCTGAGGATAGTTCGGGGCGGGGGGGGCATACGCAACACGAACGGTGGAGAATTATTCAGTAAACATCACATTACACCACACCATACCACACCACGCCCTCTCTGTCATTCGACAGCAGTGTTTCACTAACGTTACCGCCCGCGTGTCACAGTCAAATTCGGGCTTCCACGTTTCCTTGACATGGCTTGCGCCTTTCCATCATTTTCTTTCCGCCATTTGATTCCGCCTGGGTGGCAAAAAGGATACAGGGCTTGCACCTTTCATGGCCTGCTGGCAATACAGGCAAGACAATCTACCGTACACGAGAGCCATGAGCACGCACCGCAGGCTGCGTTGTTGTTGTCCATGTCACAGTAGCCGTCGCCCATACCGACAGCGTCGCAGCTCTCGTCGACATCGACAGTGATGTCGTCATCGTTGACGCAAGGGGCGCTCGGGTCGATGCAGGCGAAGCCGTCGCCGCAGGCGCCGTACCAGTCGTCATCCCAGTCGTCGTCCCAGTCATCGTCCGCAGGTGGGGCCTGACGGGTGTGTTTCCAAGGCAACGAATGGGAGATAAGGGTTGGTGCGAGAAAATACCATATCTGACCATTGGGACAGAGAATTAAGAAAGATACGTACCGAAAGAACGCCGATCGAACTCCTTTGGTAGACCTATTGCGGATTCCAAGGGCTTACCAGAAATATCGCGGCGAAGAAAACAAATGCTCGTGCAGATCCAGAGATGAGGTAATCGGAGCAGCCGATGAAAAGGTGGGGGCAAAGAGATATATGCGTTATCTACCAAGGACACGAAAAGGTGCTATAAGTTGGGGGCATGCGTAGTGGAAAGGTTGCTCACCTCGCATGTGCACTCGCAGCAGTCACCGCCATCGTAGCCTGCCGAATCAGGGTGCAGGGGCGAAAAAATGGGCATGAAAAACTTACAGGAGGATGGTGATGCCAAGAGGTTTGGTCGAATGACACCGATTGAGTCCCTGACCTCCGAATTATATCTAAAATGCCGACCTGTGGACGGGAAGCCACGTCGGCTTCCGCACAAGTGCTCCACAGCTCAACGCAATCTCACCGCACAGTTCGTTGTTGTTCTCCTCGTCACACCATCCATCGCCCACATCTCTCACCCGCCTGCCGTCAGTGGCGTCAAGCGCGTTATACGTCAAGGCAGCAAAAATGAACTTCAGGTTTGTTCCAGTACTGGAGCGTAGCAGCGAGCCGGCAAATAAACGGCTGGACACGCGCCTGAACCGGGAAATCCGAAACTCATTCCGCGCGGGCTACATCTGAACATCTCATCATGATGGCGAACATGGGTTTGAGGGCTCAGCAAGGCCGAACAAAAAAACGCACACACACTTTTCAACCGCACTGAGACTGACGTATTTTCATTGGTCAGCCAGTCAGCGCGGTCGATGCTAAAAAACCACACACACACACACATGTGGGAAACTTCGCAATCATATCGGAGACATATCGCTGTCACGGCACGTACACCCATGCCACGCCGAACAACACATCGGCAGGGAAAAGTCATTCCCCAAAAACCAGGCGTGTTCGTACAGATTTTCGAAGGTGGGGTGTCAGCGACAACATGTGGCAAAGCAGCAAAACTAGTGGAAGCATCACGCCCTTGGTTGTGCTGCTCGGTGGACGTCTAAACGCAGCACTACATTGGAGACGCTCCTCGACGGCACCAAGAAGAAATTGTGCATAGACTCAATCGCGGTAGTTGCAGCTTTGACGTACCCGCACTCCTCCACCATCACGGCGGTGATATCGTCGTCGTCAACACAGGGGGCCTCAGGGTCGATACAGGCGTTGTAATTGCTGCAAGCCCAGTTGTCGTCGTCCCATGGGCTCTGGCACATGCGTGAGCAGAAACAGACAAAAGACTTGTTAAGGGTTAAAGAAGGCGGACTGGAAGGGAGGGGTCAAGGCTAACATAGGCAGGACTCGTCCTAGCACTAGCAGCAGGAACTTGTGTTTTCAAAGAATTCGCGAGGGCCGGCGGGGAGGGGGGGGGGGCGTACTCATGTTTTGCATGCCTTAATTGCAAATGAATACCGTTGACCACGCGTCCTCGAGAGGATGGAGCATTGTTGTCACGGAGCATTCGCGAGGACATTAGGGGGGGGAGGAGTTACAGACGGATTTTCTCGGACAACCAACGCCAGCAAGTGCAGAGCGTACAAGCGCTACGACAAAGTTTCAAGCCTCGTCTTGTTCAGCGGCTACTCGAGTATCTGTTTTCTTTCTGCAGACCCTACTGCTACTGAAAGTGAAAACCTGTGCCTTCTTTGGGCATCACCACACACGTGCGAAGGCAGAACTGCAAACGTCTCTAGACTGAAGGGTTCTTCAGAATTGAGACGGCGGATGCTGAGCTGAGAAATGCGCATATCTACCAAGGCCACAAAGGGTCCAAACCACACATTCTTCAGACCTCCCACGTGCTTTTCGATTAACTTACCACACAAGTGCACTCGCAGCAGTCGCCGCCGTCGTAGCCTGAGGCAAGAAGGCACGCCAACGATCAAGCAGGGATGAGGGAACTGTTTGATGTATACGCCCACGTCGAAGAACATCGGAAATGACTCGTATGCATAGGTTTACGGCTTCCTCTGGTTCAAGACCCGCGACCCATCGTAGTACAGCAAACCTCACACGTCCGGGTAATGGTATGAGACCAACCAGAAACTAAATATCCGCACGAGATTTCCAACATGCAGTGAATACACAACGCGCGTGGGGTGAGTGATGCCGCCCTTCAAAGGTAAAGGAGGTGGGGGAAATGAAGGGGTCTCTGTGCGCAAGGGGGCGCTGGAGCAGCAAGAGGGGCGTTTAGGTGCGAGAGCAAGAGCGAGAGAGCGGGAGAAAGAGAAAGAGAGAGAGAGAAAAGAGAGGGACACAAAGCAGGCCACCGCTGCGTTAAAATCTGTCAAGCGGTTGTCTGACACGGGTGTGCGTAGGTCGATGTGCTTGCATACGTTCACGTGTGCAATAGATTTACATCCCATGGCCATATGAAACACTTACCGCATATCTCGTTGTTGTTGTCCTGGTCACACCAGCCGTCCCCCAAGTCCGAAGTGTCGCAGTTCTGCGCGATTTCGACGGTGATATCGTCGTCTTCAACGCAGGGTGCGTCCGGGTCGATGCAGGCAAACCCAGAGCCGTCTTTGGAGCAGACCCAGTCGTCGTCGTCGCCCCACGGGTTCTGGTTTTGGAAGCGCGCGCGCGGCGAAGAGAGGACCATTTAATTATCACAACCGCGGGGATCTCGAAATGAGAGAGAGGCGTGGGAGTGAGAGGTGAAGAGAGGAAAAGCAGGGACATCGCCTAGGACACCTTCCGTGTGCATGCGTACCAAAAAAAGAGAAGGGATGTCTCGGAAAAATGGTGAGAGAGGAGGGGATTGTTCGGCCTGAGAGATGGGAGGGGAAACCCACATCGAGAGTAACTACATTGACTGCCCCTTGTAATGCTTACGGGTAGTTCGAGCGCTTTTGGTGCTTAGGGTGTGTACACTCGTGGACACGAAGAGAAAGAATATAGTCCGAGGTCAGATTCAGATTGGTGGCAAAATAGGGTTGTGGAGGAAGGGCGAGGGGAGAGAATTCTACTGAGGATGGAGAAGCAACCTTCTTTAGGAGAATCATTTCACGATTCACAATTTTCATAGTTCTCACCACGCATGTGCACTCGCAGCAGTCACCGCCGTCGTAGCCTGGGAGACACGGACAAACAACAACAGAATGGGGGAGAGGGCAGGCGGTCAACAACATGGTCGCACCTGACCTTGCCGTTGGGATGAGGTCGAGCAGGCTTGCATTCTACCCAAATTATAGCCACCTTTGCAAGAGGAAGGGCATGATTTTTTTAACATCTTCACGTCTGGTGTTGAGCCACCACTGCCCACCGACCGCTTCATGAAAGGGCGGCCAACGTGAAAGGAAGGACAACGGCGGCATGGACAGGGCAGGTACGGCGAGAGGGATTGCCGAGTACAACGGGTTATTCGCCATGCTACCTCCAACCTCAATTCGAACCCATCCCTCTCCCTCACCCCCGACTCACGCGTAATCGCTGACGTTCTTCCTTTCCCGCTACAGCCTAAATAGCGCCTGCTCTATATTCGAATTTCATGCAACCCTCAGGTTGCTTTGGAGGCAACGATGGGCAAACTAATGGGTCTAGTTCTCGTTTTGGTTTGGGGATGTCCTATGCATACAGCCGTCATCGCACCCGTGGCAGTTTCGTCGGATATTGAGATTGGATGGGATAACAAAAGGAGATGCAGAAGATTGACTGATGGATTGCGAACAGATAGATAGATACGTAGGGGGGGGTGAGGGAGGGAGAAAAAGAAAGAGAACGGCGACAGAGGACACATCGGAATAAATGCGGTCGTAGGAGAGATCAGCTTCTACACCATCAACGCCATGGCCACCTGGCGGGTGCATCCGAACAGTGACATGAAGGAAGGTGAAATGGTGACCAAGAACAGCAGCATGTATCGAGAGGTCACAAATTGAAAGGGTCAAGTTGTCACAAGGCTGATTTACTCTGATGGCGTGATCTTGTTGATTCTAACCCTAACGAAACCGTTGAAAAGTGTTTCGGGGGTGTGGTCATGTCCACGAAATCGAGCGAAACCTCTTTTTTTCGTTGGATACTTCATCCCGTGGGGTGTACTCGTTTCCCGGGCCAACGTACCGCACTCTGCTTTGTTGTTCCCATCGTGGCAGTAACCGTCTCCGATACCGCCAACCCAGTCACAGTTCTCCACCATTTCAGCAGTAACGTCGTCATCGTCGACGCAAGAGGCGTCTGGGTCGATGCAGGCCATATAATCTTTGTCGCACCCCCAAGAGTAATAGTCGTCATCGCTCTGAGTCTGGAATGGGTAGGGGCAGCATAGTTTGAACGGGCAATTCATTTCTCAGCAAGGGCACTTCGAGCCGGAGGGAAGGGTAGAGAGAGAGAGAACTATGGCCATGCTACATGGAATCCTCTTGCATGAGTATTTGAAACGTGAAAACGCATCGGGCTTGCATCCGCCGTGCAGTATGTCAGTACGAACCGGTGCGCTTGATTGGAAAATCAGACCGTGTCGAGGGCGGATGGGGCACACAAAACACAGAGAGCAGAGTCAACATCTCGAAAGAGTACAACGGGTGAAACCGATCGTACCTGGCAAGTACACTCGCAGCAGTCGCCGCCGTCGTAGCCTGCGAAGGCCGGGGTCAATGGGGGGACGACATCGAATGGCAACAGGAAACAAGGGAACGGACCTCAGGAAGATAGTGACGAGTCAGCTCGAACCCGATGCAACGAGGGTATTGTAGGTTGAGACTGTAGCTGCATGCTCGGGTCGTTGCGCCTTCAGCACGTACTAATCTAACCTAAGGGCGATTGCTAATCGCACAGCAGGGTTTGCAGCTATGACTACCACTCGCAGGAACGTGCGCAGGAGGTCACTCTTAAACAATATTTCTAAAGATGAGCACGTCACACCACCAGGAGGTGCAGTACACATACCGCATTCTGCGTTGTTGTTTTGCTGCTCGCAGTACCCGTCTCCGTAGCCACCCTCCCAGCAGCCCGAACTGCTCCAGGAGTAGGCGGCGACACTGGACAGGACGACCGCTGCACCGAGGGCGCCCAGCAGGCGGCTGGAATGTTTTGTCATGGCTACTACGCCACGCCTCTCCAGGAAGTGTGGCCTGCTTGAGGAAAGCAAAGCATCGCAGAGCGATTGAACTACACGGTCAGTTAACCTCGCAACCTTGTCAGGTTTGAGACCAGGCTCGGAATCTCAGCGTGGTCGCACGAACAGGAATATTAGGTGTTGTTGTCTTAGCGAAAGAAACCCTCTAATCTCCAAATATT